TTTTTTTTTTTGAATTTTGTACTCTTCCTTTGCTTGGGTTTTACACTTGTGTCTTGATAGTTTGATGAGAAAATCCTTGGAGTATTCTCTTAGCAACTTATATTCGCTTAATGAGACAAGTTTGAGTGTTTTCTGGTAACATGGAGGGTTAGGAGGCGTGTCCCGCTGTCAAGAGGGAGGTCATGATGGAATGGTGGTGCAAGCACTCAGAGCGTAAGTGACTTTTGTGGGCCACCATCAGATAATACTCGTAATTTTGAGGGGCGAATTGTTGGGATACAAGCAAAGTCCCACATTGTTCATACAAGAGGATGGACATGAGTTTATATACACACAGTTGTCTCCATTGGTTGAGAGGCCTTTTGGGTAATGTTCAAAAGCAAAAATCGTGAGGGCTTGGACCCATAGCGGACAATATCTCACCAATATGGAGACATATGTATATGTGTGGTAACCCCTTTGATGCACAACACAACCATTTCATTGGAAGAATCCCTTGGGGAAGATAGTTGCAAACCCTTGATGCTTCTAGTTTTGAAGGAAACATTGGACTTTGTGGTGAACAACTCAACAAAAGTTGTCCTGGAGACGAGACACCAACAAAACCACAAGTACCAAAAATTCATGGTGAAGATGATAATTCATATTTCCTTGAAGCATTATACACGAGCTCAGGGTTAGGATTCTTCGCTGGCTTTCGAGTCTTGTTAGGGTCAACACTACTTTGGCCACCATGGAGAAATGCTTATATGAAGTTCTTGGACAAATTGCCAAACTATATATTTGTAATGCATAGTTGAAGAAGCCATAAGTGGCTTTAAGGTTAGCAGGTACGTAATTCCAATAACTTCTTTCACTACTAGAATTTTCCTTATTATTTGAGGATTTTCTTGCAAATTTTTCTCAAAAACTCGCTGGAAACAAGTTACTTGGAAAATTTTCTACAAATTAAAGTTTGCAGGTAAAACTTTCGTGGATAATTCATTTTTCACGGATTTAAAAATTCGTAAGAAATTGCTTGCGAATAATTTTTGCATGAAAATAATAAATTTTGCAGGAAATTTTGGCAAGAAAAATTATATTTTAAATATTTCTTGCGGATTTTGCTACAAAAAACATCCGCAGGTAACCTTTCCTAAGAAAAAAATTGCAAGAAAATGTGTAAATACTTTTCTACATACCTAAAATTTACAGCAAAGTTTCCTGCGAATTTTAAAACAGTAAGAAAAACCGTAGAAAAGTTACCTGCCAATTTTTAAAATGGCAAGAAATTGTTGCAAAACTGAAAATTTGCAGGAAATTTTCCTGCAAATTTAATCCGCAGGAAATTTTTGCAATATAAATAAACACATTTTCTTATAAGCCACATCCAATATTTACATTATTTTCAATATTAACTTCAAATTTTATTTTATGTAAAAGGTTAGTGATTTTGGATTGGACATAATAGATATATTAGTCAATTTGCATAATTGGGATCGCTTCCTTCTTGACAATTGGCCTGCTGCTGTATTATGTGCCAATCTTCGATTTCATGGTTTTTTTTTTGCCAAGTTTAATGGGAAGCTTATGCTGAAGGAATTGGAGAGTGAATATGAATGTGTATGAAAGGAGGATTCCTAGGTGCCCGCTTGTTTGTTGCAGATAAAATCTTAAAAGTTGTTGCAATATAAATAACTAACACAATAAATAAATTAATAATGTTAGTTAACTATACCTTCTTCATTGTTGCCTAGCTTTGCTCATAACCTAACTATACCTTACCTTGTATTTCACTGTAATTGTGGGTTTGTGGCACCCCTAGTGCCACATATTCAATATATTATTGACTGTTTCAAAAAAAAATGTATAAATATAAAATAGATATTTATTTACAAAATTTTAGTTTTTAACGATGATTTTTTATTTATCAATATAAATCAATTTTAATGTAAATTGATTTATATCTACATTAAACTTAAAGATTATATTGATAATTGGTTTTACCTATTAAAGTGGCTAATTTGATAATGTTAAAACACTATAAATATTAACTCTAAAAGCTAAATTAAATATTACTTGGTGAAAAAATGCAAATTAATTGGAGTCTAACTGGATAATAATTTTATTCGTTTAGACAAGGAAAATAGATTTTTAAAAAAATAGAGTGATTTGATGGAGATATAAATATACAGTGCACCGTGGATTGATGCGTGTTAAAGTGAAACGTACCTATAGGTTTGAATTTTGAGTTGTACGTCTCTCTCAACAAAAAGATACATATTTTAATGGATTAATGCATATTAAAGTGAGTACCGAAGCATGAAAATGAAAGAGAATACAAAGGTTGAACTAAAGTCGTAGTTGTTACTTTTGAATAAGCATAGGAGTCCAATAAATTAAACATAAAGATGAATATATAGTATATAATGTGGGCCCATAACCCATAGGTCCCTGGATCGAACCAGGCTGTGATACCAGGCTGTGATACCCATAGGTCCCTGGATCGAACCAGGCTGTGATACCAACTTAAATCTGAATAATTTTCATGTTATTGAATTGATGGATACAATAAAATAAATAGGCATAAAACATAATCAATCCCTAAAGTTTAGGAATTTAGATAAAACTGACTAAGGAAACTAAACTAAAAATTAGGAGAGAATAAACTAGTATATCTAAACTATATCTTATAGAATTATCTTAACATAGGCAAATGAAGTGATTAGCCTATGTAAAAGTAGACCTTAATGGAGATCAAGAACAAACAAATGAGACCAAAGTAGAGGAGAGAATGAACGAGAATGGATGCACCACTTGTCTAAAAGTTTCCACCAGGCACCTGAAAAAGCAAGCCTGGTATCAAGAGCACGTATAGGATCACAACCACAAACACTACCCCACAGTTCAATTCCTATTGCTTAATTAATGTGTTTCATTATATATATAGAGCAACTATTGAACCCAAATATAACAATCGTTTCCCAAGTTCATAGCAAGCTAAATATGAATTCTTCTGAGAATGAGGTCTAGAGTAATAGTAAATGATAAGCCACAATAATAGAGTATAAATTGTTACTATGCCTAGGTGAGGAAACTTTGCCAAAGTCTCAGCCATTGATAAACTTATAAATACCATGTATGAAAAAATAAAAGATATACCATATGCATGATATACCATGTAGTAAAATCAACTTGTATCTACAATCAACCATTACTTGTACCTACAATTAACCATGCCTTGCATAAAAATAAATGAAAAAATGAAAATGTCAAGGCAAAATCCATGTACTAAAAAATAAATGATAGATCCCTATGGCGTCGTTTGATCCATATAGCCGACCCCACCTAGTGGGATAAAGGCTTGGTTGTTGTTGTTGTATATGCATGATATACCATGAACTAGAGTCAACTTGTATCTACAATCCACCATAACTTGTACCTATAATCAACCATGCCCTACATAAAAGTAAATCCTCTTTCATTAAAAGAAAATGAAGATATTAAAGCAAAATCCTCTTTCAAAGAATGAAAAGGTATCAAATATCACCTTCAATATGATCACTATATTCATCACCATTGTCTTCATCATCTTCGTCATCACTTTCATTGTTATGTTGATGTGTAGACATTTCTATGTTCAAATTGACTCCAAAATGACTAGGAGACAAGAATCAAACAATAATCTCAAAAGGTTAACTCATAATAATGAAAAACAACAAAATTAAAAGAATAACTCTAACAGAAAATAAAATATATTTTAAAATATATTATTGAATATTTATATCTAATAATAACAATTAAAAAAAATAACATACAACAAGAGTAAATAAATTAGAAGCAGGACTATAATTTGGAAGTTAAGGAGGGAAACATACCTCTAACAGATAATTAAAAGTATCTAAACATCCAAACTATCACAAGGCACTTCATGGTACTGCATTATAAACTTAGATAATTAGAACATTATCTTTGAGTACTACATAAACAAAATAAAAATGACCTAGTAAAAAGGTTAATGACATAAGAAATAGAAAATAAGTAAACACTTCTTTTAATTACTCAATTTAAAAAGATGTTATTATATTAACAAGAAGGGCAGTGTTTTAACAAGAAAATTTATTGCCATATATTTTTAAAAAATTACTTATATCTAGAAGTATAAAGAAAAGAAAAGAAAAACGACTTAATATAATTTAACAACTTAAAATGAATAAGTATTCCATATTTTTGTTATTAAAATTGTGAATAAAATGATTAAATAAAATTTATCTTACGTAAATTGAAGAAAATTACGTAGATATTTTATATTGACAGATTCTAGCTTCTACTGCTCAATACCCTGTTCCCTCTGTTAGGCTTTCCAAAAATACATTCAATTAAAATAAAGCAGAAAAAGAAAATCATGTTACCAATAAGAATCAACTAGAACGTATAGGGAGAATGAAGAATAGTCATATATCAGCAAATCCAGAAGTCAGAAACAATATATCACCTCTCAAGTATCAATTAAATGTACTAGTCTAACAGCAAACTATCAATCTGTAATCTTAACAGTAGAAGCTAAGTACTTGACACCAATGAGCATCCAATATGCATAGAGAAATTCATGTGCCTTATTCTAAACAAATTTGGATCAAGTAATTCCAGTCCATGTCTGTCGTCACCTCTTTCATATGCATAAAGTGCCTCTGCAAGCTAAGTTCAAACAAGAGAAATGGAGGAAACAATTTTGACTAAGAAAAAATACATTTCCTCTGAATAAGCAAAGCAAAGCAAAAGCATGCTAATGAGAACCTTATTATAACAGCAACATCAGTAGAAAAGAAAACAACGCAGTTGTATAGGTTTTTCATGCAGTTATTTATTGCTGGGAAATAATCTGGTTGAACCATCCAAGTACGAGTATGAGCATGACACACAATATCTCTCAATTTTTTTAACTCAACAAAATGCAAACAATGAATCAAGAATGTAGAACCAAAACTGACTCAATAAGGACTTATTTACTAATCCAATCCAACAGTAATTAATTTTTTTAAACAAGTAAAAAGAGCCACAGCACCCAACCTAGAATCTACCCATTTGTGCAATATCCATCCCTACTTCTGAATGACCCGTAAATGATAAATTTCCGGTAACATTATTGGTTAAGGTTGTATGTGACAAAGTGAGTGCAACAAAGAAAGGTTGTCATGTCTCGTACTCCAACAGAATAAAGAATAAGAGCTATGAACTAGACATACTATCTAACTACATTTTCATATATTCATGGAAGCAGCTACTAAAGCATAGCATCATTACTCTCTGCATGCGTTGTTGTTTCTTTTTAGTCATCCTCAGAATCCTATAGTAAGATAACATGAATATGTCAGAATTATTGTATCTCAAATGCCTTATGCAAAATAAAACACTTTCACCTGTTTTTTAAGCCCTTTAGAAGATCTTCTGCTTTAGAAATTTCTCTGGTCTTTGCCAAAGTCCACACTATCAATACGTCGAAGTGCCACTCTAGGTACCAGTTTTCCTGTACATATAATATACATCCAAGAAATGCACAAGAAACATGTAGAGTGAATATACTTAAACTTCCCAAAAAAGAAAATTTTTCCAACATCATACTTGAGCGAGTGCTCAAAAGCTGCATCAAAATCATCACTAAGAAACACAGACAGTACATTTTTAAAAGTTTTTAATTCAAACTCATGTTTTATATGTAATGTGCATTCCTTCTTGAAAATTATAAATTTATGGGCTTTAAAATAGTTTGATATTGTTAAATATATATATTTTTCTTATTTGGTAACTTGGTACTTAGCATTCAATTTGCAATTTTTTTTTAGAAATTCATGTGCCTTATTCTAAACAAATCTTAGAAACAGAATTTCTAGAATCATTGCTGAGACAATCCTAAACTTCTTGACAGATTCTAGCTTCTACTGCTCAATGCCCAGTCCTCTATTAGGCCTTCCAGAAATACATTCAATTAAAATACAGCAAAAAAGAATTTACATGTTACCAATAAGAATCAACTAGAACATATAGGGAGAATGAAGAATAGACATATTTCAGAAAATCCAGAAGTTAGAAACAATATATCACCTCTCAAGTATCAACTAATGTACTAGTCAAACAGCAAACTATCAATCTGTATTCTGGATATGAGTGCACTTCAGCAATTTTAGAGTTTGAAGGTTTGGAGTATGCATTTTAATTTGCTATAGTAGGATAAGATTCTTCACCCATGTTCTGTAGTCTACAGAGTAATTTTTTTTTTTTTTCCAAAAACCAGAGCATTTTCTCTTAAATTTGATATCCGATTATGTTAAATGGTCTACTAACATATTAGATTGCAATATAGCAATAACAGTTGTTCACGTGTTCTTATTCAGCTACACAAAGAAAAAATGGTCATTTTTTAAAAAGGTAGAAACTCTAGAATCTCTAGTAATAAATTGTCATTCATTCTTGAGAAAACTCCACTTTCAATAGGGTTGAAATACATATAATGAATAGTTCATTCTATGAAAGTAGCATTAGAAGAATTCTGCACTCACATACTTGATAAAATTCAAATCAAAATCCACCAAGCCTAGCCAAATTGAAATTTAGTTAATAGTTCTACTATAACTGAAGAAGTTGAAGCCTGAAGACAGTGTTATTTGTGATATATATGAAACATTGTTAACTTTGTCAGACCTATAAGAATATGTTCGGGTGAAAGAGTTTTGATGAAAGGCAGCATACATTTTCATTTTAGAATGAAAGGAACAAGAATAGATATTACCTTGTAATCTCCCGGTCACCCCTTATTCATTTTCGTAAAAGAATTATAACTCTTACAAAACTGAGAAATTAGCATTCCCTTCCCTCTCCTGATTTGATTTTCAAGAAAAAAACAAAAATTAATATATAGATAATTGTAAGTTTGATTGAATTAAAATCACATGCAGCTGAGTGACTTATAATTCTCTCTGATTCCTTGTGAATATGAATATGAATATATCTAATCTTTTATATACTGTTTATCTTGTGTTCTGAGCTGAATGAAGTGAACTACCCTAGTTTCAATCAAATAAAAATTCCTTAATGTATTTTCAGTGTACAGAGATGTCTTCCATAGGGAAAAGCATATTCATAAGGAGCACAGGGGATGTGTGCAAGAACAATAATAATACGGTTTTGAATGGGAAGAACAAGTATGTGCAGTGGCAGTTTCAACTTAGATCAAAATCAAACAGGTTCAGAACATGGAAGAAAGCAAGGAAATCATATCAACCTTCAATTCGAAGCCAAGCCATCCTTACCCCAGCAACCCCACCCACCACCAAAAAGGTACTCTACACTGAGATAGCTTTTTTTACAGGATCTAGTTAACATTGTCTAAATTTTCACAAATACATTAATTACTCCATAAAGTGCAAGAAATCAAGCATACATTAAAATGAGAGACAAACAGAGACACACGTGATTAAATAGATAGACATCACAATAACAACAAGCACACACTCCTCTCCCTTGTTTCTGCTTTGTTCAGTCACTCCTCTCCCTGCATTCACACTTTCACATGCTATCAAATCCTAGCTAGCTCTTAACAAACAAAAATGTGGTTTAAAAAGGTATGCAATCAATAAACGAGACACATATCCAACCAACATCTTACCTTCAGCCAACATCTGCTTCTACATTTTTTCAGATTATAAGCATTGTCTTCTATCTCATTGAGTTGGTACTTCAACTCTACATTCAAAAGCACACAAAAAATGAAGTGTTATGCGGTGAGAAAAATTAGGAAAAGGAGAAAAAATGAAAACCCTAACAGATGTTGTGCAGTGCGAGGAAAGGAGAGAAGTGTTGTGGATGTGGCACGGTGGAGGTGATGAGGAAAATATTTTCAGTTTTTAAATTCATAAAATAATCGTAAATAGGAAAATTTGGAGGAAATATTACTTAAAAAAAAAACAAATTACCTGTAAATTTATATTTAAAACAAAATTTGTAGGAAAATAAAAAAAAAATCCTACAAATTTTTTTAAAAATTTTATTTTGTGACAAAAAAATTCATATAATTAATATTTTTGTAGTAAAATTTGCAAGAATTTTCTGCCAATTTAAAATTACAAAAATATTTGGAATAATTTATTGGAGATTCACATTTGCAAGAATTTTTGTAATAATTTCCTACAAATATTTTTGCATGAAAATTCTTAGGTAAATGACATATTTTTAGTAGTGTTTGAACTTAGTTATTTTTATTTCTCTGCCTTATTAGTAAAATAAATTAGTAACTCCTTTTGATATGGAAAGGGAGAATACATTGTTTTTTATATAAAAAATTATCTACATCTTGGGAAGAAACTGAATTTAGAAATTTACTTATTAATTTCATTCTTTAATCTTTCAATCGCTAATTCCGAGAAGTACCATTTCACTTCATTGTATCCGTTGCTTATATTTTGCCATACGCATATATTATGTATAATCTGAATTGTAGCATAAAATTAAATTTGCAGTTTATGGCGGACTAGCTTCAAAATTCCACACTCGAATGAAAGCATCATGCATTGTTGGATGTGTTGGATATATGTGTAATATTGATGTGTACAATTAATGTAAAGCAAATCATTGTTTGAAGAAATTTATTGATCTGGTTGACTTTTATTGTATATTCTATTTGTAATTTTATATTTTATTTTCTTTTTAAACGGAGACCTTGTAATATATAAATTAAAATGTAAAGGTTTATATTCCTTGTTTTATGATGAGGGCGCTGCTAATAGTCTGTCACATTCAAATTGTTATCCAAATTTGTACATGACAACAAAAATGTCATATGTCCAAATAATGCTGGTTGATCTTATTCCTGGTATGTTAATGTCCATTGAGTTTTAATTTGATCACAATTTTCATAAGCCAAAACTGAAAAATTAGAAAAGGCAGATTCGTCTAATTAGTCTGTAGTCATTGTTTAGCCGGAGTTTGACAAAACAGGTCAAAACAAGTATGAATAATTTTTTACTTGGTCTAATTTGGTTTCACCAAAAAGAATAACATTACAAAAGTCAAGTGAAAAAGTTTGTGCCCATATAACTGAATTGGTATCCAAAGCTCATGATCAATAGATAAATTATCAAATGAAACCGAGGATCCTTGCATAAAAACAAATAAAGGAGACAAAACAAATAAAAGGGTTAAGACAAATAAATTAAAATATATATTTGTTATAAGCATTCAATCATTAAAAAAAAATTGAGATTGTTATGGATTTAAATTGCATAATGGCTCAATGGATATATATGGTTAATTAAGCTACTTAAGTGCATATATTTGAATTCTTAATCATCAATATACATACCAAATATTCACCATTAGACATGATTATATTGAATTATAAAGTACTCCTATTTTTTTTTTTTTTTGACATTTAACACACAAAAATTAAGAAAATGACTGATATTTTAGTTTTTTTTTAAGTATTTATTATTTATTTTTCTAGTATACTCTTCAGGTGGTTGGAAAAAGAATAAGTACATTGAAAATGAATAAACACATTGTTCAATAAACACACATTAATTATCAAGGGTAAAAATGAAAAAAAATAATAATAAGTCATTAATTTTAAAAAAAATGATAATAAAAAAATAATAAAAAAATAGTGTCAAAATAACTATGAAAAAAAAATGGAAGGAATATTGTTCTATACTCCTAATTACTATATTAATTAACTGCACTCTCAATTATAATGACCCTTCGTCATGAGAATGACCATATTGCTGTGTATTTGACACGCATATTTTAATGCATTAATTTGGATGATTTGTTATTTAATAATGTGAATAATTGATAGATTATATTTGATTTGTATTAATGATTTTAGTTAGTGATGATTGTAAATTCTAATTAATTTTTGCAATTTGACATATTTTTACACTCTACGTAGACTATATCTAGAGCTCCTAACATCGCACTTGATCGTTCATGATGTTCCTGGATAGATAAGAAAGAATTCTACAACTTCTTTATTGGAAGCAAAAACCAATTCGAATATTAAGTGCCCAAAAATGCATTGCAAAGTTTCGATCCTGCATAGTATTTTTTCTTAATTATTTTTAGAATGTAATGTTATAATTTGTTTAATAATGTAATTAATTGATTTAGTAGGCTAAATATTTAATTACTCTAATTACATATTAGTGTAGTCTATGAATAAGTGTAACAGATATACACTTCATATGATATTCCTGATTTTTCAAAAATTAAGTTTTTCTTTTAAATGACTCTCGAAATTCTCTCTCTCCCTGTCTATTTCTCTCTCTTCGATTTTCTCTCTTACTTACATGAATTGAATTGCGACAACATGATTATCATGCGTGGCTAATTCATTTATCTATTCTAGGTTTCAAGATCTACAATAAATTCGAGTTTCCAATCTTTTTACCGAATGAATTCTCTATTTCTCTTCTTCTCACTTTTAGGTTTAATTTTCATTCTTAATGATTGTAAATTTCATTTTAGATTTACAATAGAGATTGAAGATTAATTTTTAGATTTAAATTTAGATTTAGATTTACATATAAAATAATCTAAATTACCTAATTCAAATGTTCACCATTCTTGAATTTTATTAAAATTGTGAGATTGTGATTACATTTCATACTTTGATAGAATTAATAGATCTATATTTACATCTACGTTTTTTTTTATTAAGTTTATAATGAATTAGGTTGATTAAGAATTTATATTTATTGTTGAACTATAACAATTTTACTATACAAATTGGAACCTTCAATCGATACTTCTTCATTTAAATTTTTTATTCTTAATCCACTATTTTATTGATTAAACACTGTTTTGAAATATTACATTTTTTTTACTAATTTTATGTGATAAAATATGGATTAAATGTGTTTGTGTCTTCGTGAAAAATGACTTAATTATTTCTTATTTTGTACTCCCAATTATAATTAATGTCTTATCATCACGAGAATGACCATACTACACCTTAGGTTGGGTATGACCTTCAAATTCAATCTAACCATAAAATATTTGTCTATAGAAAATAATATTAAAGAACTTTAAATAATGGTTAGAAACCAAATAAGTTCAACAATTAGGGAGATAATAATATTTTCTACATAATTTTTGTATAGGTGTGATAGGTAAGTTTTCATGGAGTAAAGCAAAGAATATATAACAAGAGTTGAACGTATCCAAATCAAGTAAATTTATGTTCATCACGCATATGAACAATACATATTCGATGTATAATTATACTAAATTTATATAAATATAAATTCTGATTATAAAAATATGTATCTCATCTAGTCACCATAAAACCTCACGGATCTGTATCTCATCTTCAGGCTAATATGTTTTACCACTGCTTTCTGCCTCTCTACTAAAACACAACTGTTGTGCTGTGTGTCAAATAAAATCTGTGTCAGTTTGGCATCTATCTCTTCCATAATGAAATGTGGTACGCTCAAAACATGCATTTTCAGTGTTTGAAAACCAAACTGCATATAAAATTGGCGAGAGCCCGTTATAATTGGATTTGAACAAAAAATATAGTCAATTAATGACTCAATTATCAGCATAGGATTTGAATATTCGAATTGAAGTTATACTTAATTGATTGAGTCTAATTCACAAAAACATTGCTTATTGGTTTGGTTGGTCATGGAAATTAGATGTGCAAGTATCAATGCAGTGCAAGTAGGGTAAGGATAATGATATTTGAACACCTATACTCACTGCTTTATGGTCCATGTATGCTTCTGGTGCTGTCATAGATTAGAGTATCATATGCATACTCACTCCATTTTTAAGAATAACTATTGTGCAGCGTCAAATAAAACCTGTCTGGTTCGAATATGATACTCTAATATCTCTTCCAAATTCCCATGTTTGGCTTAGGCATTACGACATCCAAATATACACTTGCAATGTTTTCAAAACCCAAGTGCATATTAAATTGGCCGGTGAGATCCCATCATGATTGGATTTGTTCAAACAATTACATTTGCCTTATTAATTTAATTGCTTGATCAAACCAATAATTGAATAAAAAATAACACTCCTAGATTCATATATACAAGTTAAAACGTACCTATTTTTTTTATCAATTAAATTAAACAAATTTGAACTAATTTTACAATATTTAATGTTATCATCTAAAAAATACTATTTAAATAAATATGATTATTGTTTTCAATAAATATTATTTAAGATAATTTAAAAATAAATTTTAATTTTTATATAAAATAGAATATATTAAATCAACTTAACTAATTTTCTTAATATATACATGGTCAATTAATACTCAATTAATTTGGTCCTACATAGTATTTGCTTTTTACAACTTCTATGTTAAAAGCATAGACCAATTTGAATATTAAATGATCTAAAAATACATCCCAAAGTTATGGTCCTACGTAGTATTTTTCTTTTTATTTTTAGAATATAATGTTATGATTTATTTGGTGATATAATAATTAGTTGATTTAACATACTGAACATTTAATTACTCTGATTAGGCCTATTAATGTATTCTATAAATAAGCGTAACACGTATACACTTCATATGATAGATATACTTCACTTTTCAAAATTTGAGATTTTTCTCTTAGAAGTCTTTCAAAATTCTTTCTTTAATTTTCTCTCTTACTTACACGAATTGGATTGCTACAACATGATTGTTATGCGTTACTAGTTTGTTAATTAATTCTGGGTTTTAAAAATTATGGTAAAATTCAAGTTCTCAATTTTTTTACTGAATGAATTATTTGTTTCTCTTCTTCTCAGTTTTAGGTTTATTTTCATTCTTCATGATTGCGAATTTCATTTTGGATCTAGAATAGAGATTGATGATTAAT